TGATGGCACATACCTGCCATGCCAGCTGAAGCCTAATTGCGAATTCCCGACCAGTCTGAGCTACATGGGGAAGCCCTACCTCAGGAATTTGTGCTTTTTAAATAAGGAATACTTGGTTGACTAACATAACACTGATCTAGAGACAGCGTTGCAGCACAGAAAAACTATTGCAGAGCTGACATGGTAATTTAAGTTGTGAATATGTTAAGTGGCCATAACCAAAGAGTTTCAGTGTCTAAATCTCAATGGTAAAGGAAATTAAACCAGTCTAATGCCTACCAAGGCTGGCAGCAGACCTCATTGAAAACCACTTCAAAGGCCTTTGTAGTAAGTCACTGCGCACCAGCTTGACTGGTAGGTGTCTGGTTTGCTACATGCCCCCTTTCTGTGAGTCACTCCTGTCTCAGCCCTTTGCACAGACGACAGGACTTCTACAGGCAGGATGAACCCCCTCGGTGAAGGAGCTAGTTCTGCAACAGGGGAACCTACATCGGGAACCTGAGGCTACAGTCCTCTAGATAACACAGTTCTGTGAAAGCGCCCGGCAGGTGACTGCCCCCTAAGAGCCCGGAGCGGAAGCGGCTCTCCCACGACCGGCTCCGCACTTACGATGATCTTAAGGAAGTAGTTGGACTTCCAGGTCGCCCTGTCTTCCCTGGGCATCACGGCGGTGCGTCAGGGATTGCCACGCAGGGTTTAAAGACGATGTCACTGGGGAAAGAAGGGCAGCGTAAGCCGAGCCACCCCGACACTAGTCCCCGGTCCGAGGCCTAGGCCTAGGCGGCCATGCGGGAGCTGGGCCCGGAAGGACGCCGCCAGCAGCGCGAGTGAGGCCGCAGACGGGACGGGGCGGCCGGTCCCGTGCCTCCCTCACCGCGCCCCGAGCACACACACCGTCCCCAACCACAGACTCCCCACGCTCTCGTCCACCGCCCTCCCTCAAAGAAAAACGTAAGCCCCAACCTCTAACGAGGACGCCTGGCGAGAGAAGGCCTGCGCGCCCGCGCGTGCCTTTTATAGGGGCGGCCTGGTGAGCCGATGACGACGTCCATACCTATTTGCTGGCGCCATCAACCGTCCCGCCTCACCAAATCAATGTAGGCAGCTATTGGGTGATAGCGCTGCCACTTCAGCAAGTAGGGTGAGTAAGGACTGCACCCTGCTGCATTAGAGGAGCGCTCTTGGAGTTGCTGCCCTCTGCTGGGCTGGAGCCGCCTTGCAGCGTCACCGAGCCAGTACAGCAGAGTTCCTTTACTCTTCTTTTCTTTTCTTTTCTTTTCTTTTTTTTTTTTTTTTTTTTTTTTTTTGGTTTTTCGAGACAGGGTTTCTCTGTATTGTTTTGGAGGCTGTCCTGGAACTCGCTCGGTAGACCAGGCTGGCCTCGAACTCACAGAGATCCGCCTGCCTCTGCCTCCTGAGTGCTGGGATTAAAGGCGTGCGCCACCAACACCCTACTCTTCTTTTCAAAACCTCCGTCCTTATTCGCACAAAACTCATCAAAGGTTCCCGTTTTCTCTGAGTAAGCCTCAAACCTAGACTACGTACAAGGTCCTACACGACCACTCCCGCCTTCACCCTGCAATCCTGTCTCTTGCTTTCCTACTGAAGCGTTTGTCTCCACTCCGATCTCTGTTTTTCCAGAGTAAGCCCTTGTTTCAGGGCTTTTGCCCAACCTTTCCATCTTCCTGGAATGGTGCTGACCAGTATCTGCTCGAGAAACTCATGCACCTCCTCCAAATCCTGCTGCAAACAAGGGTTGCCCTGACTCCTGACTTCAAATTTTAAGAGAAAGGGGGGGAGGGAATCAAACCTACTGCTGACTCCCTTACCTTCCCACATCCCTTACACCATCTAACTCACTGTATAATTTATCACATTATATTCGTCAGCCTCTCCCCGCAGGAATGTAAGCCCCATAAAGGCAGACATTTTGTCCTATGCCTCCTGACAGTAGGCATGTAAGTATCTGTTGAATGGGAGAAGGCAGAACTTGCTGTGTCGTCTTAGGAAGTATTTCAACTTTTCTAGCCATCTGCTTTGCCTCCTCATTTGTAGTAACAGGAGGTTCTTATACCATTTCTGAGACACAGGAGAAAATCAATACTTTAGCTTCTTTTATTATATACATTCATTCAACATTTATGGGAATAATTGTTTTGCTTTGTCTCTGACAGAGTCTGACTCTGTAGCCTGACACCCAGCCTTCCACTGATACTCCTGCCCCAAGCTCCCCAGTGACCGCAGGCTCCACGACACAAAGCCCAAGACATAGTTTTTAAATGAAAGATCCTAAGGCTAGGAGGGCTTTTCCTTCCCATCTCCACGACTTCCCTGAACAAGCTGGAACTCTCCAGTGAGTGTATCGAGGCCGTATGTGGCCAACAAACATTTGCTACAACTGTGGGCCCAGTTCTGCTGCTCGCAATGTTCCCCTCGGCAGCAAGGGTGGGGCTCGGGGCTCTGCTATCCAGTCCTGCCAGTTTAGTCCTGTTTTGGTAGGCATGAAGCCATCTTTTCACACTACAGTTCCCAGACCCGACTACACAGCCGAGGAGCTTCACAAACACATGCATCCACGGGCCCCTATCCAGGTAGAGTGTACTGCATAGGACCCAGGGTGTTTTTTTTTTTTAACGTTTTGTGTGTTTGTGTGTAAGCCCATGCAAATGTAAATATGTCCACGGAGGTCAGAGTCTCTAGAGCTAGAGTCCCAGGTGTTAGTGAGCTGTCAGTCAGCCATTGACACTGGGAACTGAACTCAGGGCCTTCAGAAGAGCACACTTGTTCTTAACTGCTGAGCCAGCTCTCCAGACCCATGAATAGATAAATATCTATAGAGATTTAAAGAAATGTAGGGGGCGCTGTATCAAGCCTAGGGCCTTGTTCATGCTAGGCAAGCAATTTACTGTTGAAAGTCTCCTGGTGCCTTTGAAGATCGCTGACTGCTGAGGTCACTCTGTTTGGGGGGGGGTTTCTTTTTTTCTTTTTTTGTGTGTGTCACAGTCTTTCTCTGTGACTTTGGAGGCTGTCCTGGAACTCGCTCTGTAGACCAGGCTGGCCTTGAACTCACAGAGATCCGCCTGCCTCTGCCTCCGGAGTGCTGGGATTAAAGGCGTGCGCCACCAACGCCCAGCTAGGGGGGGTGGTTTTCGAGGCAGGGTTTCTCTGTGGCTTTGAAGGCTGTCCTGGAATTCGCTCTTGTAGACCAAGCTGGTCTTGAACTCACAGAGATTTGCCTGCCTCTGCTGGGATTAAAGGCGTGTGCCACCACTACCTAGCTGAGGTCGCTCTTTATTTTTATTTATTTTTTGGTTTTTTGAGACAGAGTTTCTCTGTGTTGTTTTGAAGGCTGTCCTGGAACTTGCTCTGTAGACCAGGCTGGCCTCAAACTCACAGATATCCGACTGCCTCTGCCTCCCGAATGCTGGGATTAAAGGCATGCGCCACCAACGCCTGGCTAGGTCACTCTTTAATGACAGCTTCTGCACACTCTGCACTGTGCTAAGTACTTGTGCACAGTCCTGACATTACTGTCTCCCTCAACCCTGAGGTGCAGTACCTTAATGAGAAACTCCCAAAGGTTAAACTGTCTGGTATTTCATAAGCAGGACCCAGGAGCTTTCTGACCCTTTTGGGACATCCAGCGAAATTCCGGATTTCCCTGGGTCTTCCAGTAGGAGCTGTGATCAACTGTGCTGCCAATCAGGCGCCAACTTTTTTATATCATCTCTGTGAAGGGCATCAGGGGATGGCTGAACAGACTTCCTGCTGCTGGCATGGGCGACATGGTGATGACCGTGGTTAAGGCAACACCAGAACTTAGGAAAAAGCTCCACCCAGCAGCAGTAGTTGGACAACAAAAGTCGTATGGAAGAAAAGATGGGGTGTTTCTTCATTTTGAAGACAATGCAGGGTCATAGTAAACAATAAAGGTGAAATGAAAGGCTCTGCTATCACAGGTCCAGTTGCAATGGAATGTGCAGACTTGTGGCCCAGGATTGCATCCAATGCAGGCAGCATTGCATGATTCTCCAGTGTATTTCTAAAATATATTCATTAAAAAAATAATTAAAAAAAAAAGAATTGGGACCCAGGAACAGGCTCAAAGCTCATGGGCCTCACTGTGCTACAGACAACCAAAACCTATGTCTGTTCTCTAAATGCATTTTTCCAAGTGTATACATATGATTATGGCACATTTCCAAGGACAATATAAATACCGTCTCTAACTGTAGTATACCAATATAACATCGTGCCATGGAGCCATTAGAAATGCTACTAATATATATCCAATGGCATGGGAAAGTTTCCACAAAACATTACTGAGAAGGCCAATCATCTTTCTGTAAGGATGGATCTAACAAGGGTAGGAAAAATAAGCCAAGGCATTATCTCTGAATGAGTGTTGAAGGTCACAGTTACTTCCAAGCTCACTGTGATAGAGTCAACATTCAGAATAGTATTTACTCTACTGCTTAGAAACCTGATCTAAAGGACAGGGGAAACTATGAAGTCACAGCTTATGATAAATGAAACCATCCAGTTTGGGGGCCTAGAGATCTGACAAGAGAAGGCATGCATGTATGGACATGACCACAAGGAGGCAGTAGAGGCTGACCAGCAGCAGGGAATCTGTGGCATTCCATAGTGAAGTGATTCAACCAAGGTGTTGCGCAGGGCCTGGTCCTTTCCATTCTCCTCTTTCTCCTTCATCAGTGGCTGGAAGGCCACCCACAGACCAATGGGAGACACTCTCAGTGTGTCTACTTGACAGCCCCAGAACAGGACCTGCCCCTGTGGGTCCAGTAAATTCTCCCTAGTCCAGGAAAGCTCATGCTGGAGCCATTAGGACCCAGGGCCACGGGCAAGCTCCCAGGATCCCATTCTCTGGCTTTTGGACCCTCCAGGAAGGGAAAGTCAATGATCTGCCTTTGTTCTGTGACTCGGTTTCTTCGCTGTGGCAACTAGATCAAATGTCCATGAGACAGCACAAGCACAGGTGAAAATAATGGCAAACTTTATTGGCATAAATCACAGGAATTGAAATGGAAAAGCCAGGTTAGGAGATTATAGGAAAAAAGTCAAATGATCACACATCCATTGACCCAGAGAATGGCCTTCCAGATACCCCATCTCTCTCCTTGGAAAGGGGCCTGGAGCAGGTCACTGTAAACAGAGCAGTAAGGCCTGTGGGTGGCAGTGCTGTGTCAGACCCCTGGAGCGCCAAGCTCACCTTCGGGGACCTGGGCTGCTGCTAGCCCGGCCCTGACCCAGGATCCCTGTCTGGGATCCCATCAAACGGAGCCTCTACTAGGAAGCTGATGTAATGTCTGGGTCCCCTGCCTCTGGACCCTTCTGGTGAGCGTGCCTGTTCCAGGGTTAGCTGCTCCCACTCTATCCTCTGGAGTGGGAGCTATGGAGCCTCTCGAGGCTCTAACAGGATCTTGCCCCTCTGCTCCAAATCCTACCAGGCTCTCTTCACCAACTTAGGGCATTCTTCCCAGTACCCCCAGCCCCCCACATACATGAATCCCACCTGTGAGAGGCGGCAACCTTTGCCCCAGTCACCAGGAAGTTTAAGGAAGTGGTGCACCCAGTAGGACTGAGCCCAGAGACCCTTACGGTCTTCCTGGTCAAAACCAGACCCCAGCTTTCCTGAGAAGGCGGAAGAAAGAGCCCAGAGAAGCAAGGAGGCGGCTGAGGGTCCAGTGGGTTCTCCTTGTTGCCGGAAAGTTCATGAGGGGCAGAGGCTGGCTCCTGATGGCTTGCTCAGGCAGGAGGCAGACCCCAAATATATATTTTCCCCTTTGCCTCCCTTGGGAACAGGATACAGAGGTTCAAAATTCCAGGTCCAAAAGGGCTGGAGACTGTCAGACCAGTTCTTAAGGAAGAGCCTGTTAGCCTGGGCAATAAGGGAGGTTTGGAAATACAGCAGTTAAAAACAGTCCCGGGGAGCTGTGAAGTTACAGAAGGGGGTCTCAACTCACTTGTGCTAAGAAACAAAATAAAATACAAATTGTTTCCCCATCCCAAGCTCTCAGTACAAAGCAAAGTCCATACCAAAGCCAAGGCCACTGGCAGGACCAGTGACAGTGGACAAAGACAAGAATACAAAAGGGGACGTTCTTTAAATCTCTTCAAAATCATCTTGTAGAGAGAAGTAAAAGCAACTTGAGCAATACGAAGTGGAACCTCAGTGTAGAAATCTATCAAAATTGGTAGTGTTGAGGCACAGGTGGCCATCCCTACCTCACACCATCCCCAGAGAGGGAGATGTGGCTATATAAAACATTATTGCTGGAGAAGCCTCTCTCGGTAAACCCGGGGCAGTCACCCAGACCCTGGGAGACTGGGCGGTGGAGCCCACGGTGCCTTTGGTGGCCTGTGGTGAGTTTATGCTGGCATTGTCTCGAGGGGGCCGGTGTCCCCAGTCCACTCAGGGTAATTAGAGAGAAACAGGATAAAAAGAGGCCCTGGTTGACCCTCGCTGCCCTCCCACTCTGACTCCACCCTGAAAGGTAACAGTGAGAGGACCCAGGGCGGGGTGCTGGCTCATGAGGACACACTTAGGGACGACGGGGCCCCGGCCTCCACCTCGGGGAGGATGAAGGGCACAAAGCCCAGGGGAACTGTAGAAGGGAAGGCGGCCCCTGACACTGTGGGGGTGAGGATCAGGCAGGGCCTCACAGTCCTGTCCTGCACCTGACGAGGACAAGCTTCCAGTTTCTGTGGGATTGGCCCATCACCCCTGGGCGAGGTCTTTGGGTCACAGTAGCAGTGGCTGGCGCTGGCTGGGAAGGGCGGTGGCGGGAGGGGCCTAGCAGAAGAGCTTCAGGAAGCAGCTCTGGCAGTAGGGCTTGTCGTTCTGCTCCTTGAAGGTGCCCTTGTTGAGCTGCTTGAGGCAAAAGGCGCAGACGAAGTGCTCGGGGTGGAACTTCTTGGCCATGGCGGTGATGCAGCGGCCGGTAATGGGCTTCTGGCAACCAGAGCACAGGGAGCCGCGCCGCTCGTGGTAGTGGACCTCACAGTACGGCTGCCCGTCGTGCTCAAAGAAGCTACCATTGACAAAAGGCGTGAAGCATTCCTGCCAGGCAGAAGAGGGAAAAGGCTCAGGAGCTGTCCTGGGTGGGGCTCAGGGGACCGTCACCTCCGTGGTGACCCCTGTCTGCTCATCATTTCCTATGTGCTAGGTTAAATACTTAATTCTCCCCTGGAGAGGGATGTAAGTGAGGTGACCTAACCAAGGTCACAACTAAACTATATGGCCTGCATTCACACAGAGCTAAGCGTTCTGGATTCAAGCAGATGGCTGGAAAGCTGTTGCCAGAAATGGGACAGTTCGGGGCGGGAGACAGGACAGGAAGGAAACCTGAGCTGAAATGCTGCGTCCTGGATTTCCATTTGAAGATTAGTGTGCACGAACAGGTTATGACAGGCCCAGGCTGCAGCCAAGTGTCCCCGGTTACTTGTCCACCAGCCCTTGCTGGGCCCAGTCACAGCTTTGGGGCTCCCTGTCTACTTATGTTGAGCCCCAGAACTTGCATCCACTCATTTGATCCTCACATGCTCTGCTCAGGAAGACCAGTCCTGAGGCCTCCACAGCTCGAGCACAGTGGGCGCCTCTAACTTCTCCTTTTTTGAAGAATCACACACATACACTCCATCCCACCCCCCAACCCCCCACCCACTCCCTGAGAGCCCTGCCTTCACCTGAGGCCTTCTCCCAGACCCGCCTTACCCTGCACACAAAGCATTCTGGGTGCCAGAGCGTGTTGAGGGCTGAAATGTAGTTCTCCAGGATGGCGCGGGCACAGCCGCCACACTTGGGCGCAAACATGTCGAAGTAATCTTTCCGACAGTAGGCTTTGCCATCCTTCTCATGGAACCCTGAGGGTTGGGGGTGGGGCGTAGAGGTAGATTTAGGGCCTCTAGACGTGGAGCCACCCTGATTCCAGCATCAGTCAGGTCACACCCTACACCCTCTGGGGCATCCCAGAGAGTGACAGGCATGCCTCCCAGCACAGCCATACCTTCCGGACCAAAGAAGGCTCCGCACTGAGCACAGAAGAAGTGTTCCGGGTGCCACGTCCGGTCAAGCGCCGTCACGACTTTCTGTGAAAGCAGAAAAAAGATCATGAGCAAGGTTCTCCCAACCCCACCTCAGCCCTGCTCACAGCCAGGGAACTGCAAATGCTAAATATTTAGAGCTGCTGAAGTATATAACACACACACACTCACACACTTACGGACACATACACACACACACAATACAGACACACACACTTCTTCAAACCTCGTGGGCTCAAAGTCCATGTTTTTTACTGTGACCCCTACTCCAGGGCCTCTCCCTAACATCACACACTGTGGAAAGTGACACAGTTGGCACCCAGCCTACTAATTTCAGGCTCCTAATCCCAGGGGCCTCTGCAGCTCAACTCCAGGACGGGAGGTGGGCGGGAGCGAGAGCACCAGGGCTGCTGGGACTCAGCAGGGCCAGATTTGGCCCTGCCACTTCAGCTCGTGTGAGCCTTGGGGCTGACACTTCTCCCACCAGAAGACCGAGGGCTACAGTGAAGACGAAACTGAGACAGTGGCTGCGCCCAGACTGACAGCCCCGATGCCATGTCCTACCACCACCACGTGCACACTCACATCCAGGATGGGCCCGTTACAGTAGTAGCAGCGGGGCGAGAATAGGCTGTGGTAGTCCTTTTCACAGTAAGGCTGTCCGTCCCGCTCGAAGAAGTTCCGGGATCCGATCTCTTCCTGGCAGTGGGTGCAGACAAAGTGCTCGGGGTGCCATGTCTTCCCCATGGCAGTCACAACCTGCACAGACAGACACGAAGTGACTCAGGATGAATCGGACAGAAGGATCCCAGAGCCAGTCGGTGCCCTGCTTCTTACCTGCCCGGCAATGGGCTTCTTGCAGGCCCCACAGACCCCTTTGGCCACCGTGGCGACTCCCAGCTTGTTCAGGTCAGACTGCAGACTTCCCAGCATACTGTCGAGCTGGCTCCCAGGCTTTGAGAGTCCCCCAGGGGGTGGGCTGCTCCCAGTTTTTCCCTGGGCCATGAACTGTGGGCACAGAGAAGGCCTGTAAGATTTCCAGGGCCTGGGGTGGGCAGCTCACAGCGAAACACCCATGAGGGCCTGCGTCCTGAACAGATGGGCTGACTGAGGCAAAAGGCAGTGTCCTCTGGGGTTCAGGGGTGACATCAGCAGGCAATCTTAGGGTCAAGGAGGGCTTCCAGCACCCAGCTGTATGACCAAGCCCAGGGAAAACATGCCAAGTAAGAACTCAGTCCCCAGCCCGAGCACTAACCCCTCCCTCGTCCTGCCCTTCAGGGCTGCTCTGCCTGCTGCTGGGGGGCCAGCCGGCTGCCCACTGCCGCTCTCCATCCACTCTCTGTTCCAGGCCGTGCATCTTAGATGGGAAAGAAGGGAGGAGAAGACATTGTTTAAAAAGATAAAAAGGCCTCGTCACCGGATTGTTTCACACAGGGAACATAGGTTCAGGGGTTTCTCACCATTGGTAGTACCAAAGATGGGGGGGGGGATACATCCAGAGCAAAGAACCTGAGACAGAGGCCCAGGGAGGAGAGGAGAGAGGAAGGCATGGGGCAGGAGAATGGGAAGGAGACACTGAAGCCTTGACAACCTCAGGTCCAGGCAACAAGGACAGAGAAGTTGGGAGTTTCTGGTATGGGAAGGCTTCCTCTGCTCAAAGTGCCCCCGGGAAGGGGCTAGGGTGGGGGTGATTTCCTGAGATGGTGCCTGGATATCAGGATCAGGAGGAGCCGGGGTCAGGTCCTAAGGAAGGACTTAGTTAATGCATCAGGGCTGACACAGGGCACAGGTAGGGCGGGCAGGCTGGGGCCCTGGGAGGCCTGCCTGCATTGGGCGGAAGAGCGTGTCCTCGTTGGTCTGGCAGCCCACAGACCTCACGCTGTGCGGTACAGGAGTGAGGCCGGGAGGGCCATGCACGTCCTCCTCCTGGGGCTTTCCCCCTGCACTCGGGACCCCAGAAGAAGGACAGTCACCAGCCAAGGGTCCTGGACAGGAGGGAGTGGGCAGGCTGGGCAGGAGAGGAGAGCTGCTGGCCAAGGTGTCAGGGTGAGGCTGGAGCAAAGGGTCAGAAGGAGAAGGAGCCACAACAGAGAGGGTTCTTCTCAGGGGAATGGGAGAGTCGGGAGGGTAGACGACCTGGGAAGAAGAAAGCAGAGATAGGAAGGCAGGAATTGGACAGCAGCCAGCAGAGGGCAGTCATGTGGCCAGCCTTGTTGAAAGTCCATGGAATGCAGAAACCACCCACCACCCCCAAATCTTTCTCAGCCAGCACTGGGGCCCAGGAAACCTCCAGACCCCACTTCCCAGGGCTGGCCCTGGCCTTTGCTGGCTACCTTCTCTACCAGCTGCCCCCCGGCCTGCCTCCCACGTGGCTGCACAGTGATGACAACGCCTTCAGTCAGCCAGTCCTGGGTAGAGGCCTCCGCCACCTCCTCTGCCTCCAGCTGGATGCCCAGCCGGCCCTGCAGCTCTGCAATGAGCCGCTCCTGGGATGGGGTCCTGCTCAAGGTGGCAGGGTCCAGCCGGCGGCGAGGGGAGGGTTCCCGGGACATGGGATGCACGTGACCTGTCTCCCGGCTCCTCCTGATCACAGAGCGGATCTGGGGGTGGAGGGCAAAGCTGTCACCATCCCATTCCAGGCAAGGTCTAAAGGCATCCAGGCCACACTAGGGTGTCACAGGGGAGGCGAAAGCAGAAAGATGAGGAGCAGAGCTGAGGTGGGGAAGCAGGAAGCAGACAGGGCTGAAGGCCTCCTGGGGCCCTGCGGCCACCTCCAAGTCAGCCCCTAACCTTTGACACAAACCCAACTTCCAGGGACCTCTGTCGCTCTAACCTTAAAACAGGACAGCAGCATTTTCTTGGCTGACCTCATGGGCCATCATAGTAATTATTTGATGGTCCTTTCCCTCTCTCCCCTCTTTCCTTACAACTTAACTAGAAAAAGGGAACCTCCTCTTTTCTTTACATCTTTTTTTTTTTTTGGTTTTTCGAGACAGGGTTTCTCTGTATTGTTTTGGAGCCTGTCCTGGAACTCACTTGGTAGACCAGGCTGGTCTCGAACTCACAGTGATCCGCCTGTCTCTGCCCTCCCCCCCGAGTGCTGGGATTAAAGGCGTGCGCCACCAATGCCCAGCCTTTTCTTTACATCTTTTAGCCAGTGTTTTTCCTAGTTGACATTGTAACGTACTCATCTGCAGTGTGTGTGTGGGGGGGGGGGGGACTGGAAAAAGGGTGTAAAGTCCGAATCATACAAGAAACAAATAAAAGCCAGGCATGATGGCACACAACTATAATCCAAGCACTCAGAAGGCTAAGGCAGGACCAACAGCCAGGAGTGGAGGAAGGAAAACCAGGTACTGTGTTTTAGCTACTTTTCAGGAATTATCGCATCTAATCCTCTGGGCGACCTCGGAAAATGTGCTGTTATTGCTCCCATTTTAAAGAGAAAGCTGAGCTTCTAGGTGGTTCCCCATGGTCAGGTGGCGAGCAGGTGTTGCCAGAGTGGTGTGTGGGTCTGTGTGGTTCCCAAATCTATGCTTTAACCGTTTTGCACATTGAAACTGGAACAGCGCTTCTAAAGGTAGTCTTGAGCAAGCAGGAGGCAGAGCATCACCACTACTCAGCAGGGTCCAGAGAACACTGGCCCTGTAGGATCACTGCCCAACGCATCCTCAAGGCCACCATCCTTGGCACTTTCTGCCTGGCGGACATTTATAGGGGCTGCATGCGGTTAGCAAGGAGCGGCCACACTCAAGTCCTGCCACACTCATGCCTAGTGGCTGCACAAGCTACTGCCTGCCTGGCCAGCGGTGGAAATCCTCTCTGAGGTGCTGGGTGTGCCCATGACCCCGGCATGAGGAAGCTCCGGCTCTTCCTTCCTGGCCTCCAGAGCAGCTTCGGTGGCTCCTTCAGGGTTCCTTGGGTTCTCAAGTGCCTCGGTTGATTCCCCCAGGCCTCCTCTCCAGGGAATCTTCCCACCTAACTGCTCCTCGTCAGCTGGGGCAGGGCAACTGCTTCCCAGGCCCCCTGGTTCTGACTGTGCTTGCTCCTGCTGGCCACATTCCTTGGTGAGACTCCAGGTGTCTGGGAGGACAGCCTGCCGATCCACTGCCACGACAGCTGGCTCGGTCCCTTCCAGGAAGCTGTATGTCACTCCGTGAGGAATCTCAGGCCTGGATGCTGGCACAGTCTGTGGCCATCTCCCAACGGGAGCCACCGTCTCCTCTGAACAGGCATGGCTGGCCAGCAGCCCCTGGGATCCTGTGCTCACAGCAGGGTGCAGAGTGTGGCAGAGGGGAGTCAGGAAGGGCTCAGTCATGGAGTCTGCGAGGTCATTCCTAACTGGAGCCTGGCTCTTAGCTCCAAATGACTGCTGAGAACCCTTCCCAGAGGGACACCGTGAGTTCGGAGTGCCAGATGTCCCCTCGAGACTGACCAAATCAAGTCTCCCAGGAGCCACAGAAGGTAGAAGGACCTGACTATTTCCTTCCCTACTGAGGACCATGGGGGTGTGGCCTCCAGGGGAGGATTTAGTGAGAGGAGGAGGATGAAGAAGGGTGAGGGGTGGGGATGGAGGAGAGCTGGGCAGCAGCCCCTGGGAGCATAGCACCACAGCAGAAGAGCTAGTCTGGAGGAGAAAGACAAAGGGAAAGGGAGAGAGACATGGGGAGAGGTGAGGCCACAGGCGAGCATGGACTGAGAGTTGAGAGAGCCACCATCTGCAATGCATAGACACAGAGTCTTCGGGAACAGTCTAACCCCAGAAATGCTTGCCTGAGCCTCGTATCCTCACACCCTAGGAGACCCAGGCAACAGAAAGCATCCACAAAGTCATGCTCACAAAGCCACCCAAAGTAAGCACCAAGGGGACTTGTGACAAGGTGCACGACGGGAAGAGAGCTCCAGAGCTGGTTCTAGGTGCAAACAAGGGGAAGCTGGCAAGGCACCAGCTCCATGCTCCGCCCACCCCAGCTTTCCTATAGCCTCAGGTCCTTTCTTGAGGGCTCCAAGATGCAGTGTAGCTTTTCCTCATGTGGCACTCACCCAACTACAAGGTCTAAGAAAGCAACTGCAGTCTTAGGGGACAGGCACCAGCACAGCCAGTGCCTGGATCCTGGCTGGCTGCTTATCACCATAGCAACAAGGGTTACCAGCCCCGACTCCACCCAATCTCCCACCTCCATGTGAGCTCCCAGTATGAGTCCAGCTGAAGGGAGGCAGGAGGCACCTTCTAGGCCAAGAATGGACAGACAGCCTGGCTCCCTTCTCATATTCCCCAAGCTGAGCCTCAAAGGTCTCTGGCTGACCCACGTGGAGCTGAAGTCAGCAACTACGGGAGAGTTCAGTATTAATCCCCATTGAGCACCACATCTTCTAAAGAAAAGAAAATGTTGTGGACAGGCAGGCCTGGAGAGCCTGGGAGAGGAAGGTGGGATGCTTCATGCCAACCGGCCAGGGGCTTGGCAGGTTAAGTTCCCCACAGACAGGGCTCTGGGAACTCAGGCCCTTAAAGAAGAGAGTGAGGGCAGAAGGGAGCTGCTGGAGTGCTGGTAAGCCCCATCCCCACAGGCAGAAAGAAGGCGAGTGCTCTGAGGACAGCTAGCGTGGGAGATTCAGCTCTGGGACAAGTGACCTCTCAGGCATGAGGTCCTGGTCCCACGGGGCCCAGCAGGACACACCCTCCCCCACCAAGAGCAGCTATCAACACAGGGCTCTTTGTCACTGTGTCCCAGCTCCTGGTCCTCTTGACCTGGTGGCTGGGATCACCAGGAGAGGGAGGAATGTCCCAGCTAAAGGCATCTCTGGTTTCTCTGCCCTCATAAGCCGCTAAGGAGTTCAGTCTCGTGCATTACCTAGCCTCTCTCCCCCAGGGCCTCAAGGAGCCACTGGCCATACTGAGGTTGGGTAATGGATGGGAGCAGAGAAGACAGAGGGAATCACAGGGCACCTTAAAATCCGACAGTGAAGCCATGAGCTCGTCCAGCTCCCTGGTGGCAGAGGAGGCCGAGATACGTGTCTGCTGCTGGCTGGAGGTGACTCGCTGTGGGCTGCTCATCTCACCCTGGTTCACAGTGATGGCCGGGCTGCAGGGCAGGCACAGAGTCAGTAAGGAGCCCGAGAGTCAGCCCCAGGCTCCATGGCGATCAGATCAACAACACCTCCAACTCCAGGGGAGGCCACCAGCACCCAGCAGCACCTTAGGGATCCCCATCCCTGGGAAAGAGCAGCTGGCTAAGAAACAGTGCTGAGGTGAGGTGAGGTGACCAGGAAAGGTAGGTGGCTCAAACAATACCCCTACAGGAAGACAGGGGTACACTACATACCCTCTCAACACTGTACACAGATGCGAGATTATTACACATGATGGCATCAATAAACACTGACATTAAGATGGGCAGGTGTGGCGGCTCCTCCCTGCAAACCCAGCACTTGGGAAGATGAGGCAGGAGGATTACTACACAGTGAGTTCCAGAACAGCCTGGGCCATAGAGTGACACCCTACCTCAAAATAAACAAGACGTGATGTTATTAGGGGCTTACTATGAGTGCCACAGCTACGAGTCGGCCCCCTAGCTCCCCTCATCATTATATACTATCTGGTCTCACTTTTTTGTTGTCTGCTTTACCTATTTTACAGTTTATGTCATATTTTTGTGCCATGATCTCATACAGTTCAGATTGTCTTGGAACTCACGTATATAGCCCAGGTTGGTCTTGCACCTGAGATCTCCAAGCCTCGACCTCCCAAATGCTGGGATCACAACCATGTATCACCATGCCCTACTTCGGCTTATTCCAACTTACAGAGGGAAATTAAGACTGTTGTAGCTGGCATAGCCATGATTTAAACCCCGTGACACATCAGCAAACCTGTGCTAATACCTGACTGTCCTGATGGGTCACAGTGGCTGCTGTGGCAGGGATGGCACCCACATGACTCACACCGTATCCCCAGGGGCTGGCAATTAACAGACACTGTAGGGAGCAGCTGACTTCAGGGCTGACCGGCAGGTACTGCAGCCCGGAGCCAGTCGGGGTGAGACTTCAAGAGCTTCCCCAGCCTGGGGAGAGCCCAGTGGATACTCACACAGGGCTGGGCACAGAGCTCTCCAGTTCGTCCAAGAGGCTCTCCACACTGGGCCGCACATCCTCCAGGCCCCGGCTTCCATTTCGCTTTGGCTTCTCCTTCACCAGGGGCCCAGGTTTTCCTCCCAGGGAACTGTTATTTTCTGGGACGCCATAAAGGGGGGTCAAGGCTCCAGGTAGTGGGGGGCTTGTGTCGGCCTCATCTTGGAGATAACGAGACAAAATGGTTGCTCATCCCTGAGTCCTCCAGGAACCCAAAGGCCCATGAGTAGCCCAGAGACCGGCTCACACCTGCAGGGAAGCCCGAAGGGTTGTGCTGCACAGCATTCAGTTCTAGTAACAGACGGTCAAGTTCCGAGAGGTTGCTGCCCAGGGAGGAACTCATCACGGTCGGGGAAGGCTCCGCGGACTTCTGTTTGTTGGGGAAGCTTTGAGAAGGAGAGGAGAGGAGTGAGACTCTTCTGCCCTGCAGTGGATGCAGCAGTCCCCAGACTCTCAAGGCCTGAGGGTGGAATGTTACGAAGTCTCCTCAGCAGGAAGGCGGAGGGTAGGGAAGGAATGTGGTAAGGCGAGAGGAAGGAAACTTTGCTTCAGTTCCTCAACTACAGAGATGCCGTCTCTACAGAGATGGCAGGGACAGAGCAGAGGGGAGCCAGCTGATAGGCACAGGGCCTGGCGGGCCTTCGGGCCTTCTGTAGTAACACCAATGGCCCTAGGGTTTCCCAGAAGGGGGGCTGATGTAGGGTGCTGATTCGTACCTATAGACGTGCTCTTCCTCGCCTGCTCGGGAACAAAGAGCGCCGTCCAGGGGGTTAGAGGCACTGGAAGTTTTAGCACTGGCGCCGTACACGGGTGACGGGGACGGAGGCTGTGAAAGACAGAGTACTCTCCTCAGGCCCCTCCCCATGGAGACTGGGACAGCCGGCCACCCCCAGGCAGCTCCTGCTCACAGCCTGTCTCACCAGGGAATTTCCACAGCTAGTCAAGTGATTAATACTTGGTCACTGGCCCCTCACATGGTGGGTGAGGATAGTATATGACTGGGACAGCCCAGGACCCCAGTCCATGCCCAATGGTTTGCTATGTCCTCGGCAGATCATCTCCTTTTACCACTCCCCCACCCCAGGGCTCAGACCCCACCTTACCTGCTGGTGAGTGTATCGGGAACCAGTAGGCTGCCACTCCTCTAAGGGGTCAAGGATCGTGCCATTGAGGGCCTCGCTGGATGGGGGTGGCGGGACGGGAGGCGGCACTACAGTCTCCTGGTAGGTATGGTTTCCAGTTGGGTAGGAGTAGGGTGGTTCCTCTGACAAGAACACCGGCCGTTTGGAGATATGGGAGGTGGTTGATTCCAAGTCTGCTAGCAGGGCGTCTGCAAAGAGAAGGCATCCACTGGTGAGAGTTGGCTCTACTGGGCACTTCCCAGGGACAGTGCCCTGCTTTCTTGAAACTGAAGAGATCCTTCTGGCAGGCACCTGTGGCATCAACTGGAGAAGAGACCTGGGGTTCCCACATCGACTGCCCTGTCCTCTCCTCCCTCAGGGGTTAGATGCCTGGCTCTGCATTCCTCCTGACAAAGCTAGGTTACTGCTGCCTGGTGTAAGCAAGAAATGCCTGCTTGGAACTCTGATTCCTCAGGGCAACTGGGAGAACCGGGCGGGAGGAGCCCTACGTCATGTCACAGCACAGGGAGGGGCTGGGTAGGCAGAACAGGTCCTCTCTGGACTTCTAAGAGCCTCGGCCCAAGTCTGAAGACGGGGTGGCCCTAGGGAGCACCTATGCTCCAGGTAGGAGCAGAATTCCATGCTCAAGCTCCTCCCGAGGCCCCAGGCTTTGGGTAAGGTATGCGGAGAGGTCGGGGGCTGGCATGAAGCCAGCTTGGCAGCTGCCACCCCCTCAACAAGCTGGGGGCAAGACTGCTCTGCTAAAGCCTGGCAAGCAGCCCAGCCCTAGAAACTCCAGGGCCCCACAACTCCACTTTTAATGCGGGTGTGTGTGTGTGTGTGTGTGTGTGTGTGTGTGTGTGTGTGTGTGTGTGTGTGTGTGAGAGAGAGAGAGAGAGAGAGACAGAGAGAGACAGAGACAGAGAGAGAGAGACAGAGACAGAAACAGAGAAACATAGAGACAGAGACAGAAAGAGAGACAGAGAGAGAGAGAGAGAGAGAGAGAGAGAGAGAGAGAGAGAGAGAGAGAGAGAGAGAGAGAGAGAGAGAGCACTGCCATTACCCTGCATTCGGTAGCCAACAAGAGACTCAGGCTCCCGACAGGAAGGGACAGCTAGAGGGGCAAGGGTTGGAGGTATTGACCTTCCTGCCATAAGCCTCCCATCTTGGGACCTTCCACAGTGCCACGGTCTGGGTACAGTCCGGCCCCGATCACTACGCCCTCCTTCCTACACTGCTCACTGACCTGCTCACTCTCAGCTTCTAGTGATCTGCTTCCTGGGCCCTCATAAGTGACAAATGAAAGAGCAGTGGCTGCATTTATCACCATTTACTAGGAACCACTAAAGGCATCTACACGCGTGGTCACAAACAAGTGCCCCTTCTGGTGACCTAAAGGCCAAACTGTTGTCTTTAGAGCTAAAGAAAGTAGGCTGGGAGGCTGGCAGTCCCTGACCCGGGTGATAAAGCAGGAAAGGGCAGGATCACACGACTCCTCAGACTCCGCAAGCCCCAGACACCAAGCCTGCAGGAGGGGCCGCTGCTGTGATTACAAGGAGACAACATGGTACCAAATCTAAGGAACTCAACTTCCTGCACACCAGGGGCTCGAGCTCTATCGGCTGTCACTCTGATCCTTGCTGGCGGCCCTGTCCCCAGCCCCATTCCCATGCAGAGAAAAGGGAAACAAGGACCTTCTCCAGGCTTTGAGGCCATGCCCTCTCCTAGCAGCCCTGATTACCCGTCACTAAGGTGGGCGCACCTACCCCTGGCTCCTGCTGTATGGCTGGATGAGAAGCTGTTCCAAGGCCAGGACCCTGGGCCCCAGTCTCCCGTTGCTGAAGAAACTCTGCTCCTGCAGCCCCTCCCCTTCCAGGTCCCCTGGAGGAGCTCTGACTTCCTGCCTCCAACAAACCGGAACTAAAGACAGTCTCTATGTGTCTAGGTAAGGGCATAAAAGGAACTAATGTCCAAAGCCAATCCCAGAGGCGTCCGTCTCTAGGGCCACACCTGCTGTCCATTTCCTCTGGGCCCAACCCAAAGTAGGCGGAACCCCTCTTCCTCAATCACAGACTGAGCCTGCAGGGCTGGCTCTAAGACTATTGCAAGAACAGTCCTGTACACCTACCAGGGCCAAGAGCTTCACCTGTGGAAATACGCACACGCATGCACGCACGCACGTGCACACACACACACACGCAACAACACTGCCATAGAGGGCTAAGCTGAGGTCCCCATGGCCAAGAGCTTCACCTATGGAACTACACACACACACACACACACCAACAACACTGCCATAGAGGGCTAAACTGAGGTCCCCATGGCCAAGAGCTTCACCTGTGGAACTACACACACACACACACACACACACACACACACACACACACACACACACACCAACAACACTGCCATAGAGGGCCAAGCTGAGGTCCCCATTGCCAAAGCTGGCTAAGGGATAACACAGTTCTCTCCAGTTCCACACACTCCAAGGAAGACAATAAATAGCCTTCCCAGCTAGATGGTGAATCAGGAGTTCCACTGCCCACTCACCAAATCCCCGTGCCCTGCACCATGGTGTGATGCTGTGTCTGGCTGGATGTTTATGGGCTGGATTCTGGTTTGACTTCATTTTTTTTTCTATTCTATTTTTACGGTATTAGAGGTAGAACCTGGAGCCTTGTGCATGGTAACATCCACCTCTGAACTATACCCTGATGCTTGGGAAAGGAGACAGGGTCATGTTATGTAAACCAGGTGGCCCCAAACTCTCAATTTTCCTACCTCCATCACCACTCCCAGCTTCACAAGCCTTTTTCATTTGTTTGTTTTTTTTCTGTGCGTGTGTGCGTGCGTGTGTGCGTGCGTGTGTGCGCGCGCACGCACGCTTGCGCGCCTGGGATCCACCCATTTCTACCTCCACAGCACCAAGGTTCTAGACACACATTGCTACACTAGGCTTTTACATGGGAGCTGAAGAGCTAAACTCAGGTCCTCATGCTTACACATCACATACTTTTTCCACCGAGTCACCGCCCCAGATTGACTGATTGCTTGCTTCCTTTCTTCCTTCCAATTTATGGAGAGGTTTGGAGCCAGCAATATGGCTTAGCATGTTTGCTATTATATCTGATGGCTTGAATCCAACAGACCCTGGGACCCACATAGTAGAAGCAAAAAACAAGTCCTGCAAGTTGTTCTCTGGCTACCACTACACACACACACACACACACACACACACACACACACACACACACACCACATAAAATGCATAAAAGGCAGCTTCCAACCGGCTCTAGTGTACACAAGCATGAGCAGACACAACCTCAAACATGGTCAAAAAGAAATTTTTACAAATCAAGAAAAGAGAACCAATCAGGGTTCACAAAAGAGCCCTAGGTGATGTGGACAGTTGGGCTTACCTCAGCTATAGACTTCTCTTCAAGGCCCAGTCTAACCATTCAGGTATTTGTGTTGGAGAGAACTTTTTTTTTGTTTTGTTTTGTTTGTTTTTTCGAGACAGGGTTTCTCTGTGGCTTTGGAGGCTGTCCTGGAATTCGCTCTGTAGACCAGGCTGGCCTCGAACTCACAGAGATCCGCCTGCCTCTGCCTCCCGAGTGCTGGGATTAAAGGGAACTTTTTTTTTTTTTTGGGGGGGACTGGAGAGATATTTCCACAGTAATAACACTGGCTGTTCTTGCAGAGAACCTAGGTTCGGTTTCTCAGCACCCACAAGGTGGCTCACAACCACCTGTTAACTCTAGTGACGGGGAAATCCAACACCCTCTCTCGGACTCTGTGGGCACTGCATGCATTCAGTGCACCTGCACACATGCAGGCAAAACATCGTGCACATAAAATAACTTTTAGGTTCACATCTATTTATTACTTATTTCTGTGCACATGCACATGAGTACAGAAGTCAGAGGTCACATTACAGAGCCCGATCTCTCCTTCCACTTTGTGACACGGCCGACACTGCATGGGAGTTTTGGTACTGGACTGCAGCTGCGCACCACTACATCTGGGTTTACACGGGTGCTAGGGATGGGCTCAAGCTGACAGGCTTGCCTGGCCATTGCTGTGACCCACTAAGCTGTCCTTCATTGTAAATAGTTCTTACTCTGCAGTTTATAAAGACTGGCTCATGTGAAAAGCATTAGCAGTGACATCAGACTATTTACTTTGTGACATCCAGAAAAAGACCTTGCTGTTTTCTGGATAAAACTTGAAGACAGCCTGGACCAGAGCCACGGTACAAGAAAGAAGTATTTAGCCAGGTGGGGTGATGTACACCTTTAATCCCAACATTCAGGAGGCAGAGGCAGGCGGATCTGCCTGGTTTGAGGCCAGCCTGGGCTACACAGTAACATCCAGGACAGCCAGGACTGTACAGAGAAACCTTGTCTCCAAAACAAAAACAAACAACAAAGAGCATTCAAAAGTGTGTGTGGGACTGGAAACGTGGCTTAATGGCAGAGCGCTGGTCTCACACGAAGGAGGATCAGGGTTCAAATCCCATGACTAAAAAAAGAAAATTGCAAAATGCAAAAGTGTGTGTGTGTGTGTGTGTGTGTGAGAGAGAGAGAGAGAGAGAGAGAGAGAGAGAGACAGAGACAGAGACAGAGACAGAGACAGAGACAGAGAGAGCGAGCGCACACTATCCCCCAATTTCCTCCAAACGTTTGACTGCCTGAGAGTGGAACTTCAGCAGGTACCTAAACAAGTACAGCCTCTAACATGGCTTCCTCTTCACCCTGAGTCCTTGCCTGGTGGCTTGAACAGGACCTGGAGCCCCTTTGCCCCAAGGCTCCCCACAAGCTGCTAAAAGAATATAGGAGGCAGCCAAAACAGACTCTGGGACTCTGGATTCACACCTAGCATTTCCCATAAGGCTGCAAACTGATTAAAGGCTAAAGTCCTCTGGAGCTCAGCAAACACACACCACCCCTTCACCCCCCCCCAACCTCCCACTTGAGTAAACAGAGCCAGGAAGAAGCTCGCACACGAGTCTACCTGCCAAGAATTTCCCCCAGATTCCAGCCATGACTACAACCTTTGCCTAGCTCTAAATACACAAGGGGTACTGGTAACTCCTTCCTTCACCTCACTCCTCAATGGCCCCTTCCTTTAGCACAAAGATCAGACACAGATACACACTGCCTCCATCCTCCTCAGACACACACATCCTCCTCACAGACTCACCTCCATC